AAAAAAAATCATTTCCAATATCACTTCCATGGGCTGCCTGCACTGACCCCACAGGGTCCGCCATAGTCCCTGTGCTTCTTCAGAGCACCTACTGCAACGACAATTAGTTATTGCTTAAGTGTTAAATCCACGTCTAAATCTGCTAGACAGGTAGCACCATGACTTGTTCACCATTTTGTTCACCACTCTTTGGTCCATATTTGTTGAATAAATGGATGGATGGATGCAACTCTTACCAAAGATGACACCAAAAGAAATTAATTCCTCTGATGAAGTGAATTAATGGAAAAAAATAAGTGAATGAAAAAGTGAGTTGTCAAGTGTAGTGGCATGTGCCTGTAGTCCCAGCTGCATGGGAGGCTGAAGTGGGAGGACTGCTTCACTTAGGAGTTTAAGTCAAACCTGGCAACATAGCTCTGACTCATTTCTTAAAAAATAAAAAATAAAAAAAAGGAAATAAATGACTGAGCGCTGGTTGGGTGCTTGTGTTTCAAATGTATCTTTTTTTTTTTTTTTGAAACAGAGTCTTGCTCTGTTGCCCAGGCTGGAGTGCAGTGGGGTCATCTTGGCTCACTGAAACTTCTGCCTCCCCAGTTCAAGCAATTATCCTGCCTCAGCCTCCCAAGTAGCTGTGATTACAGGTATGCACCACCACGTCCAGCTAGTTTTTGTATTTTTAGTAGAGATGGGGTTTCACCATGTTGGCCAGGCTGGTCTTGAACTCCTAACATCAAGTGATCCGCTTGCCTCAGTCTCTCAAAGTGCTGAGATTACAGGCATGAGCCATTGCAACCAGCTAATTCTTTTTTTTTCTTATTCAGTCTCCGTAGAGAATGTCAAAAATTGCCAATGCTGACTATATTTTAAGTCATCACAGCAGGGTATTGGGAAAATTTTCAATTAGCAATAATCGAGCATAGGATAAACCTCATCGGCTACAATACTTCCGCTGTGCAAAGCTAGTTTGACGTAAGACTTTAATGGTCATGTATAACTCCTCATAGGGGCAGAAACTTCTCCATCCCCAATTCCAAAGACTCATGTAATCAATATGCAAGAAAGTTCAGAGATGAGACCTCTGGTTGTATTCCAACTTTGGGACATATGGGGATGTTTTTAGTTCAAAGTCACAAATAAATGCAGGCTTCACACCCTGCTTAAGGATTACATGTTTATTCAGGCTGGACCACTATTCTTAACAACAGTTCCTAAACCTTTGCCAGGTCTGGGAAGTCTGGCAGGTGAGATTCCTAAGAACCAATCATTCATGCACACATTTCTTGAAGATAAAATACATTATTCCCTAGTTATTTCTTCCTAGGTTTTTGTGGGCCCCTTTCAATATTACAACAGTCTTTACTGGAAAACCCCAAGTAGTATTTTGTCTTGAAAAATCAGCAATCCAGGTGTAAAAAATAGCACAGAATGCCCAATTTTACTTTGATAATTACATTGTAGTCAGTTTCCGCTCCTGGCTAAAGGCTTGGATGTCCTTCTGGGCAATTCCTAAAGGCACAGGTTGCACGGAAGAAATCGTTCCATTTTCATCTGCTCTCCTTATTTGACTGGTGTCTCGTTACCAAAACAATCATCAGGCCCTTGGATTATCTTCTTGAACTGATCTTCTAAATCGCAAGTCTAGGTTTGACACAGGAAAGAGAAGTTAACTCAGGCACACCCTGCCCCATCTCTACAAGGGAAAGACCAACTTGCCCTTCAAGATCCCATAGTTTCTCATGCCTTTCTTGCCTCCTGCTTTTAGTTTCTATAATCCTCCCCCTTGAACTCCCATCACTGAAAGTCATCAGTAAATGCTATTTCCCCCAAAAAAAAGATTAATGGGTTTGCCTATTTGTTTCCTGCCTGGAATTCGCTTTCCTTCTGGCATCAGCCCCAGATTTTCTTTGGGAAGTCACCCTTCCCTCCTCTTGGTCCCTATGGTCTTCAAGGTTGCACTACCGGTATCTATAGATGAATCACGTGACCAAAGGAAGTGCCACCTTCTTGTAGCCACAACAATTGGTTCATAGACAGGGACATCACCCAGTCAGATTCCATGAAACACCACGAGAATCCTGAGTGCCTCACTCTTTCCCACCAGACTGACTCTGAGAAGATATAAGAAGTTGATAAAGCTATCCTGCCCTTATTAGGAAGAGTCTACTTGCAAAAGGAACCAACATAGATAAGAATGAAACTGAAAGAAACCAGGTTCTGGTGACATGGTGAGCTCCTGTGTTAGGCTAGGTCTAAAGCAAGAATTATTCTTGAAATTTTGCTTAAGCCAATTTGGATCCAGTTTGCAACTGAAAAAGTAATAAACACAAGAGCAATTCTTACGGTTATCTTAGATATTTCCCCTGAAATAAATTAGTGTCTTATTCTGTGCCAGTTCAATTACTCACCAGGACTGCTGTCATGCTCCCCCAAATGCAAAGAGCCTTGTTGCTGAAAAAGCAAAAAACAGGCAGCCACGTCATGGAGGAAGAACACAGATTCAGGGTCTTGTGGCATAGTTGGCACAATCTGTGAGCCTCTCCACCATTTTAAAATTAAGGGATAACAGATTAAGACCAAGCTTCTGCCATAGAAATATTGAACATGTTTTGTTTTTTAGGGAGAGTGATTCTATTCATTTATTCCACAGATATTCTTCTGAGACAGAGTCTTGCTCTGTCTCCCAGGCTGGAGTGGAGTGGTATGATCTCAGCTTACTGCAACCTCCACCTCCTGGGTTCCACCAACTCTCCTGCCTCAGCCTCCAGAGTAGCTGGGATTACAGGCACCTGCCACCAACCCCAGCCAATTTTTTTTTTTTTCATTTTTAGTAGAGATGGGGTTTTACCATGTTGGCCAGGCTGGTCCTGAACTCCTGACTTCAAGTGATCTGCCCACCTCGGCCTCCCAAAGTGCTGGGATTACAGGCATGAACCACCACACCTGGCTATTCAACAGATATTCACTGAGCATTTATATTATTCGAGGTAATAAATTAGGACCTGGGTGACAAGTGAACAGACTTGGTCTCCACCTTCAGAAGATGTACCTTTAGGCCTCCTGATCCCTTACCTAAATTGTGCTGATGGTATAAATTTGCACAGATGATAAATTACATGGCAGTCTTTTCTGTCAAGATCACAGTTTCCAACTTAAGTGGCATTGGCATTAAGGTAGATTGATGGCTGGGCATGGTGGCTCACACCTGTAAACCCAGCACTTTGGGAGGCCGAGGCGGGTGGATCACGAGGTAAGAAGTCCTAGACCAGCATGGCCATGATGGTGAAACCGGGCATGGTGGCAGGTGCCTGTAATCCCAGCTATTCGAGAGGCTGAGACAGAAAATTGCTTGAACCCAGGAGGTGGAGGTTGCAATGAGCTGAGATCGAGCCACTGCACTCCAGTATGGACGTCAGAGTGAGACTGGCTAATTTTTTGTATTTTTAGTAGAGACGGGGTTTCACCATGTTGTCCAGGCTGGTCTTGAACTCCTGACCTCAGGTGATCTACCTGTCTCCGTCTCCCAAAGTGCTGGGATTACAGGCATGAGCCACCGCACCTGGCCTCTGATGTGCTTTATACATGGAGGCAAATTTGTGTCCTAGGAGTCCCCAAGGCAGTCTCCAGCCTCACCTCCACCTCTCTCCTTTCCAGAACAAGGGAGCTGGAGTTTGCTTTCTTCTCCATATCCTGCAGCTTGATCAACTTTTCTATCAGGAACATTTTATCTTTGCCCTCCTGCCAAGAAGGTAAACAAAACCAGAAAGAAACAAAAACATGAATGAATGATGGTATGGAATTGAGAAAGCAATTGATGGCAAGAACCTCGATTTTCAGGCAGGTAGGGTCCTAGAAGTAGAATGGAGGTTGCTGCCATCTTTTGGTGAAAGAAAAGAAACATTTCACAGTAAAACCAAACTGTCCCCCAGAGCCTTCCTGCACTGTAATATTCTCCTCTAAACCAATTCCCCTAACAGGCTTGAGCAAGTAGCCTTCTGAAGCCGGCTGCTAGAAGCAGCTTACATGCGAGATCTGAATGGCCTGAAACCATCTGAAAAATGGTTTCCAGTATCCTCCATAGGCATGTGCCCCACCCCAGAAGCATATCGTGTGATCCTAGCAGTGCTGCCTGGGTCTGCCCTGTCCTCCCACAGAGAATTCCAAAGCTTAGAGGGCAGCCGCTAAGGATGTCAAGGGTGTTTCATTTGTCAAAGTTATCTGTGTTGATGGAGATCGTTAATTCCAAGCTGGGAAAATGAACAAAGAAAGGAGGCATGCTTTCTCCCAGGAGGGTGTAATCACTTTCCTGTGAACCCGCATTGCAGATAAGAGTAGAACATTCCACCCGTTGAGGTAGACAAGCAAATACATTTGGTTGTCTGCTCATTCTCAGCCAATCATAGTAGTCCTGTTCCCATGCCTCTGTTTCTCTTTGAACTTTTTTAAGAGAAAGCATCTGGCCGGATGTGATGGCTCATGCCTATAATCCTAGCACTTTGGGAGGTCGAGGTGGGCAGATCTTCTGAGGTCAGGAGTTTGAGACCAGCCTGGCCAGCACGGTGAAACCCCATCTCTACTAAAAACACAAAAATTAGCTGGGAGTAGTGGTGGGCACCTGTAATCCCAGCTACTCAGGAGGCTGAGGCAGGAGAATCGCTTGAACTCGGGAGGCGGAGGTTGCAGCGAGCTGAGATTGTGCCATTGCACTCCAGCCTGGGCAACAGGAGTGAAACTCCCTCTTAAAAAAATACAAATAAAAATTACCTAGAGAGTGTGCAAGACTGCAAACTTGTAAGTTTTAACCAACAGATTTTTATTCAGAGACTGAACTGCATTGTCATTAAAAGTGCAAATCTTTTCTTAAGACAGGGATCTTGTTCTGTCATCCAGGTTGGAGTGCAGTGGTGCAATCACAGCTCACTGCAGCCTCAAACGCCTGGGCTCATGCAATCCTTCCATCTCAGTCTCCAGAGCAACTGGGTCTACAAGTATGAGCCACCACGCTTGGTTAAGAGCACACACTCTGGAATCTCCTTGTTCAAATCCCAACCATTTACTAGCCCTATAACTTAGAGCAGTGAATCACTATACTCTGAAAGCCTCAGTTTCCTTAGTTTTTTTATTTGTTGTTTTGTTTTTGTTTTTGTTTTTGAGATGGAGTTTTGCTCTGTCACCCAGGCTGGAGTGCAGTGGCACAATCTCAGCTCACTGCAACCTCAACTTCCTGGGTTCAAGGGATTCTCCTGTCTCAGCCTCCTGAGTAGCTGAGACTACATGTGCGTGTCACCACGCCCTGCTAATTTTTGTATTTTTAGTAGAGATGGGATGTCACCATGTTGGCCAGGCTGGTCTTGAACTCCTGAACTTAGAGAATCCACCTGCCTTGGCCTCCCAAAGTCCTGCGATTACAGATGTGAGCCACCATGCCTGGTAAAAATTCCTTTTTTAATAGAAGAATTTCAGCTAATAAATACAGGAGGAATTATACAACTGGAGTATCTCTATGTTGTATTTCCTAATGAAATAAACAGATTTTCTAGGCGTTACTCATCGAAGTCCGTTCAGCTAAATCCATTCAGTGAAACGCTGTGACGGGTCAGGCTAAGAAAGCTCAAACTCACTGACTATTGTTAACATCACAGAAAGGGACAATCAGACATTATCTGTCTCAAGACAATGCCATAGGAAAGAACAGCATCACCTATAAAGTATTTTGCCTAAGCTGAATCTGGATCTAGTCAAGTCTCTAGATCTCATCATCAGTTTACAGGAAACACAAAGAAAAAACCCAGAAACATACTAAACTGCACTGCAGAGTTGCAAATCAGATATATGCAGAACATGGCAGGGTGCAGTGGCTCACACCTGTAGTCCCAGCACTTTGGGAAGCTGTGGCAGGTGGATCACTTGAGGCCAGGAGTTTGAGACCAGCCTGGCCAACATGGCAAAACACCATCTTTACTAAAAACACTAAAATTAGCTGGGCGTGGTGGCACACACCTGTGATCCCAGCTACTTGGGAGGCTGAGGCACAAAAAGTGCTTGAACCCGAGAGGTGGAGGTTACAGTGAGCTGAGATTGTGCCACTGCACTCCAGCCTGGGCAACAAGACCGAAACTCTGTCTCTTAAAAAAAAGAAGAAGAAGAAGAAGAAGAATTTAAATAAATAAGAAAATAAAAATAAGGGATTTGCTGGGAAGAGAAAGTGTAGACGAAATAAGAATATACAAACACTGATGGCTGTTAGGGCTGAGAGCAGGGATATGAGAGTTCATTGCAGCATTGTCTATTTTGGAGGATGTCTCAAAGTGTCTCTTATACAGAGCTTTAAAAGGGTGGGGGTGGATATCAGAGGGATCCAAGGGGACTTACATTAATGATCTGCTCATGGAGCAGCCTGATCATAATCTTCCTTCCCTCTGTGATCTGCCAGTAAAGATAGGTGATGATTCTGGAAGAGGAGAAAAGAAAGAATGACAGACACTCTTGCCAAAGTTTTGCAGGCTGCGAATTTCCACTGGATGCAAAGGAACTGGAATCTGTGGTTGCAGATGGATTTGGGCCCAAACGTGTTTCTGAAAAGTCATGTTGGGGTGAGTTATAGGTTAAATACATTGGAGCAATGGTTCTCAACTTGGCTGCTCATGGAATCATCTGGAAAGGGGAAACAAGCCCATGCCACAGCCCCTCTTCAGACCAATTAATTGAGCATCTCTGGGCATGTCATCTTTTTAACAGGGGACAAGCAGGTATTGCTTTCTTAATAGAACAAGTTTTTTTAAAAATCCCTAAGACAAAAAGATAATATATAAGCTCTCAACCCCACCCCTCTGAGACGGGATCTTGCTTTTTCGCCCAGGCTGGAGTACAGTGGCATGATCAGAGCACATTGCAGCCTCAAACTCCTAGGCTCAAGCAATACTCCCATCTCAGCTTCCCGAGAAGCTTGGGCTACAGGCACAAGCCACTGCACCAGGCTAAATAACTTTTTAAAAACATTATCAATACAAGGTTGGGCAAGGTGTAATCCTGTAATCCCAACACTTTGAGAGGCCGAGGCAGGAGGATAACATGAGGCCAGGAGTTGGAGAACAGCCTGGGCAACACAGGGAGACCCCATCTCTCCAAAAATTTAAAAAATTAGCCAGGTATAATGGTGCACACCTGCAATCCCAGCTACTTGGAGGCTGAGGTAGGAGGATTACTTGAGCCTAAAAGGTAGGGGTTGCAGTGAGTCATGATCATCCCACTGCAGTCCAGCCAGGGCAATGGATTGTGTTCCTGTCTGAACCAAAGAAAGAAGGGAAGGGAAGGAAAGAGGAAGGGAAGGAGAAGGGGAAGGGGAAGGGAAAGGGAGAAAGGAAAGAAGAATGGAAAAGAAAAAATGAAAAAAGAAAAGAAATAAAGAAAAAGAAAAAAAGAAAGAAAGAGGGAGGGAGGAAAAGAAAGGAAGGAAGAAAACTACCTATGCAAGGGTAGAGTCACCCAGAACACTGAGCTCTGCTATAGCCATTTGCTTTCCAACCAAACATCCCTGCTGCTGTTTTCCGGGAGAGCTCTTGGCTTCCCCGCTAGATTCCCCAGGTGTCCCACTCACAGCACAATGAGGGTGAGGATGAAAAAGAAGTGCACGCTTCCAATGAGGTTCTGATAGATCCAGACAACCCACAGGTAGCCAGGCCGTGTACTCAGGGTGTCGATCCAGCTATAGATGGAGTGAATGAAGAAAGGCAGACCTCGAAAAGGGCCACAGTCAGCTGAAGGCTTCAATCTGGTAAAACAAAGGATGGAAGAACATCTTTAGCACAAGTCTCAGGGATGGTTGTTCTAGAATCAGGGTGTCCTTTCTGGACTCTGGGCCTGAAAACATCAAGTCTTGCCTGATCCACTTATACCCCTTCCCAAGGAAACTCTCTCACTCACAGCCTTGCTGGGGTGACCTGTGCTCCAAGCACTGGCTCTTGGATCACAGGGATCACCTGACCCAAAAGCAGCCAGTCCAAAGGCGAGGCAGTGACTTCTGCAGTAACTTGGCTCAATGATTGAATGGGGGACAGTCAGACTCTCTTAAGAACTTGAATTAAGGCTAGGCACTACGGCTTATGCCGCCAATCCCAACACTTTGGGATGCCAAGGTGGAAGAACTGCCTGAGCCCAGAAGTTCAAGACCAGCCTGGGCAACATGGAGAGACTCTGTCTCTCTCTCTCTATATATAATGAGCTGTGATCATACCACTGTACTGCAGCCTGGGCAACAGAGTAAGACCCTGTCTAAAAAAAAAAACACCTTGAATTAAGGCTGAGTGTGGTGGCTCAGCTACAATCCCAGCACTTTGGGAGATCAAGGCGGGAGGATCACTTGAGGCTAAGAGTTTGAGACCAGCCTAGGTAACACAGCAAGACCCCCATTTCTACCAAAAAACAAAAAATTAGCCAGGCTTGGTGATGTGCACCTACAGTCCCAGCTACTCAGGAGGCTGAGGTGGGAGTTTCACTTGAGTCCAGGAGTTTGAAGGTGCAGCGAGCTGTGATTGTGCCACCGCACTCCAGCCTGAGTGACACGGTGAGGCCCCGTCTCAAAGAAAGAACTTGAATTAAGACGCATAAAGAGGGAGCCCTGTTAGCTATGGAGGAATGAGCAGAAACTAAAGGGCAACAAGGAACTGGTGAGGAAGAGAAAGAAGAAAGTGGATACACCAAGAGAAGCAAGGATGTTGTGGAGCAAGGAACGGAGGGTCCCAGTTCCACGTGTGTCCTAAAAATCATCTCCCTTGTTCATTCATTCATTCATTCATTCAATTATTCATTCACCCTTGGTTTATTCTGTTAAGTGCTATTCTAGTCAGGCTCTGGGGACTCCATATTAAGCAAGGCAGACAGTTCCTGCCCTATTGGGCTTATGTTCTGGTGGGAACAATGGACAATTGTTGAGTAACAATTAAACAAAAACTCGAACAGAGGCATTCCTGATTATGAATGATGGAATGAAGGAAAGGAACTCAGGCCTGAGAGAGAGAGGCAGTGGGGAACTGATGGCAGACAAGGGGGGCTCTGAAGGTCAGATCTTGGAGAGGGCCTTGGAGCTGAGAATCGGAGGGTGGAGAGGAGGCAGCCAAGCAAAGGGAGTGGGGAGAGGACTTCACTCAGAGGACTCTGCCCATGTTGGGAGGGGTTCGCTTGCTTCCAGGAACGAGGTGAGAGCCGTGGGGCTGGGGGAAGCCAAAGGGAGGCGGGGTTGGAGGGGTGGGAGGAGCTGGATCAGTCCTGCTTTTCCGTTAACTTAGATTAAGTTCTGTTCCAGATGTGAAGCACTGGCGGGAGTCTCTCCCCATTCTGGGAAGCTTCAGTTTCGATGGGTAGTGATCAAACTAGGATGTATTCCCTCCCTGGCTTTTAGTGACTGTTGGTTAGCAAGGGAACTTAGGTTAGACGCTGTATTAAGCCTGTTTACTCTGATGTTTTAACATCTGGGGTCTTAATGACCCCAGCTCCCTGGGCTAGCTTGCAAAGCACACCTTTCAAATGCAAACCAACCAACCCAGATCCCACATGCCAAACGCCCCCTTTATCAGGCTCCTACACTCTGGGCCACCACTCCCCTGCCCTCATCACACCAGGCCAGGTCCCAGATGACTCAGGACAGCCCCATATCCCACAGCCTACTCAAACCAGCCGATCCTAAACCTGCTTCCCCTGCCTTGCCCATTCCTTACCACAGAAAACCACAACAAAGGCTCTGGCTCATGATTCCCTTCACTCCCTCTGCCTCCTGACCTAACCCCATGTTTCCCTGTGTGATCCCTGTGCCCCCTCTCTCAGGAACTGTGAGTACTAAACTATCTTTGTACTGGTGGTCATTCCTGATCTGCTGGGTGTCACCACACCTAAATTATCTATCTATCTATCTATCTGTCAATCTATCTATCTATCTATCTATCTATCCTCTATCTATTTATTTATCTATCTATTTATTTAGACAGCATCTGGCTCTGTCACCCAGGCTAGAGTGCAGTGGTGCAATCTCAGCTCACTGCAACCTCCACTTCCCAGGTTCAAGTGATTCTCCTGCCCCAGCCTACCGAGTAGCTGAGATTACAGGCACACACCACCACGCCTGGCTAACTTTTGTATTTTTAGTAGAAACAGGGTTTCACCATGTTGGCCAGGCTGGTCTCGAACTCCTGGGCTCAAGTGATCCATACACCTTGGCCTCCCATAGTGCTGGGATTGCAGGCGTGAGCCACTGTACCTGGCCTCACCGCATCTGAATTATAATAAAACCTACATTTTAAAACACACGCCCTTCCACCCAGTCTCTAAAACTTCACCCAAGGCCACGTTTTCCTACCTCCAGATGGTGATGGCCAGGGTGCACAAGACCCCGGTGAAGGACGGGAAAAAGAGCAAGAAGATGAAGAAAGTCATCATCTGTGAGGCCCGCCAGGCTTTGCTTGGAGGCTGGAAATTCATCATCAGGCTGACCTGAAGAGAAAGAGGCAGCCCCCTCCCATCTACAGCCAGAGCAGCAGCAGGGGGACCCCAGCCAGGCCCAGCCTCCTGAGACCTTCGCAGAGCCCCCTTCCCCAGCTTTAAGCGCACCACGTCACAGGCGTTTGAGCAAAACTGATTGATGGTAATGTCGACTGACTCACATTTTTGGCGTAGAACATGATGAAAAGCATAATCATTTGGATAAAGGGCAGCAGGGGGCAGAAGAAGATTCCAATCCTGAGAGGGAGAGAGGGTGAGTGTCAGAGGCGGGGGGGAGACACCAGGAGTTGGGGTGAATCTGGGGGGTTGGAGGGAAGAGAAAAAGGATGTTGTGGCCTGGATTGTGTCTCTCCAAAAATCCATATGTTGAGGCCTTAACCCCCAATATCTCAGAATGTGACCGTATTTGGAGACAGGGCCTTTGAGAGGTGATTAAGGTAGAATGAGATCACTACAGCAGGCTTTAATCCAGTATAACTGGTGTCCCTAAAAGAAGAGATCAGGAGGCTGGGCGAGGTGGCGCTCGCCTATAATCCCAGCACTTTGGGAGGCCAAGGCAGGTGAATCACCTGAGGTCAGGAGTTTGAGACCAGCCTGACCAACATGGCGAAGCCTCATCTCTACTAACACAAAAATTAGCCAGGCGTGATAGCACGTGCTTGTAATCTCAGCTACTTGAGAGGCTGAGGCAGGAGAATCCCTTGAACCCAGGAGGCGGAGGTTGAGGTAAACTGAGATTGTGCCACTGCACTCCAACCTGGATGACAGAGCGAGAATTCATCTCAAAAAACAAAACAAAA